GCCCCCCCCCACACACATATAGAATTTAAAATAAGAGTACACGGACAAAATAGTTTACCACATTTAACCAAAAGGAAGCTCACTCCAATGTTATGCTAATTTTCATGAACAAACATTTGAGATTCTGCTGAGCTGGGCATGATTCAACGCATCTACAGGGAGACTGGAATACTCATTTTTCCCAGCGCATTGATTGCACATCGCAAGCAATGAGTTTGTTTTTGACAACACACTTTCATGCACACATTAATTTTACTCCAGCTAGTCTGTCACAGCTAGTACTTTCGAGATCATTCTTACTAGGATCTAAAAGACGTATCACAATCTGTTCAGATAAAAAAGTATTCTAAAACATAGCACTGACTTTCTTGTATTTGCGACTGTTACTAAAAGTTGTGGTAATTATACTTTAGCTTCTGTTCTATTATTATTTCAGCTATTTCTTGCGAAACTTACACCGCTCCGCTCCAATGATGGTACACTAAATCTGTTTCTCAACATGTAAAACATGTTAAAAACAAAAACCTGGTAATAATCGGTTTGTCCAAGATGTATCTATTCTTAGGTCGTAAACAGAATAGAAAACTGAAATCTTACCCACTGAACCTCAACGTAGAGTCAGATGAAGCCATACGATGGCTGCGACGCAACCAAGGCAATCGAAGGCACTCTAATCACTATTCATTCGTGAAGTCGGGCAGACAATGATCCTTGACTATATTTTGCGCGACACGATGAAGCAAGTGTCAATATACAATGCGTGGAGACACGTACGTTTCAATAGTGCACCGCACTTTACTTTCTTTTATTTTTGTGCGTGTGTAAATATTCTTTTCTTACGCATTTAAGATTCATTAAAAGGGGAAAAATCCGAATTAACCCTCTGCGTTAGGGAAAACAATAACGCTGAGAAAAATGTTGGACTTACTAGTTCGAAAAAAAGATCGGACAAAGTCCGCCACGAGTAAATACAATTTTATACTTATAACATACAAAAAAGGATTATAAAGTCCTCGAAACGATCTGACAAAAATTAATAACAAATTGAACTTCACCCTTAGATTTATTTCTAAGGAATTATCATAATACACAGACATATTGGAGTAGTTCTCGCAGTTATAGGATTAATATAGAAGTCACGAAGCTCTTCAGCTCTAATGAGTACTAATGGGAAATTAAATTAAATACAATGGCGCAGAGATGATGCTGTCTTCCTAGCCAAGATAACCGTGTCCTCGGCACAACGCTGGCTCTCTAGCGCCTTCTTGAAAATGACAAAGGGCACTTAATTCAATTATAAGTAAACGAGATAACGTGCTAGACAAGTTTCTTTTCTGCTCATTAAAAGAATCGAGAAAGCATGTTCACCTTAATTCAAACTACCTTGACGCAATCAACATGAATAAAACAGAAAACTAGTTACTATATAGACGTTTGGTTAGCAGTCGTCTTAAATTAACACGGAGTGCGTGCGCTTAGCGCTCGCGTCACAGCACACGGAGGCGCCACCTCCAATTCGAGGGAGTAGTCGGCACTGCGCGAGCACGAGCGATAATTGGCCTTCCGAAGCACCAACGCAATCAGCACTGCGATAACGCGAATTGCGACGCAGCTCGCGCGCAATTTAGACGGTGACGATACGTCGCTAATGAGTCAATTCGGGCAGGTGTACACGGCACATTCAAAAACTAATTTAAGAGTATTATCGGAAGATATAACAAAAAATACAGGGTAATAAATAATATAGCATCAGTAGGTAACATCGCCGGGGCAACGGGGAGAGACGGGCGTGCAGTGGTCAGCGGTGGCGCGACGTTTCGCTCAGCCGTGCGGCGATTCGGCAAGAGCACGCGGCTGGCGTCGGCATCGCCCCCAAGGTGAGCAGGTACTTGGGAACGTGCGACCGGCGACCGCGACGCAGCGACGGAAATACAAAACTCTCCGGACGACTTGCGGGCGTCCAGCGAACTACATGGGCTTCGTGACGTATCACATGACCGCGTCCTGCCTTTCTTTGTAGTCTCGGCGTCCATGTGTTTTACCAAAATACTCGTGAATTAAATACAAATTCGGTTTCTAAGTTTCGAGTCTGTTTGCTCAACGTCATTGATATTACAGTGGAGTAAAAATAAGGTTTTATAAAAGAGAATAAATGTAATACGTATACCTTCGTCCTACAAAATACAATCTCGACAGGAGCCTGAATACTTTAACTGGAAATGTCGCCACAAAGCGGAGGGCTCGACATTGGGAGTTCCAATACACAAGCTAACTTAACAGTTCGGTAATCCTGAACAACCCTGATTGCGTTCCATTTCAAGCCACTGCGAAAGACTCCCACGAAAGCTCCAAGAGAGAGAGTCTGCCACGTAGCGTCAGATTGAAGCCATACGACTGACTGCGACGCAACACTAGGCAATCGAAGGCAGCTCCTAATCCTATCATTCGTGTAAGTGCGGGCAGACAATGATCTTGACTATATTTTGCGCTCGACACGATGAAGCAAGTGGTCAATATACACAATGCGTGGAGACACGTACGTTTTTCAATAGTGCAACCGACTTTACTTTCCTTTTTTTTTGTGCGTGTGGTATATTCTTTCTACGGCATTTAAGATTCATTAAAGGGAAAAATCGATTAACCCTAGTGCGTTCGGGAAAACAATAACGTCGCTGTAGGAAAAATTTGGACTTACATAGTTCGAAAAAAAGATCGGGACACAAGTCCCCACGAGTAAATACAATTTATACTTTATAACATACAAAAATAGGATTATAAGTCCTCGAAAACGATCTGACAAAAATTAATAATCAAATTGAACTTCACACCTTAGATTTATCTCTCTAAGGAATTATCATAATACACAGACATATTGGGTAGTTAGATTCTCGCAGTTCAGCTGCAAGGTAGGGATGAGATCGTATAGTGAAGTGTCACGAACACGCTCTCAGCAGTAATGAGTACTAATGGAATTAAATTGTAAACTACAATGGGCGCAGACGATGATGCTGTCTTCGCTTAGCCAAAGAAGAGAGAAATTTCAGGGAACTAGACGCCACATAAGGGGTGGCCTTCTCTAGCGAGTACTGGTTCTCGATGTTAGCGGAATGTTGACTGTAGGCTGTCGACGACTTTGGTAAATATGGAGGCTTCTACTTCACACGGTTGGTGATAAGAAGGAAATCGGTGAGACCGCCTAGACAAGGTGTTCCGTTTCTCGCTGGGGCTCATGTAAAGAATCGGAGAAAGTCATGTTCACACTCTTAATGTCAAACTACCATTGGACGCAATCAACATGGAGATAAAAGCAGAAAAACTAGTGTACTAATAGACGTTGTGGTTTAGCGCATAACCATAACAGATTTAGCAGGAGTCTGATTAGACATTAATGTGCACATGATATGTGGTCAGGGCAGTGCTCCTTAGGAGCAGCTTGTAGATCACTCCGTCGTATCAGTGAGCACGGACGGGATGATCAGAGCACCTAGCCAAGAGAGAGTGAGTTAGACGGGATCACGTGGCGACGTGCACGAGCGGATAATTGGCCTTCCGAAAGCACCGACACAGATGAGCAGAGGTGTAGACCATCAGGGCGCATAAGCAGGAGGTGGCTCGAATTTGGCGACGGCAGGTCGGCGCGGCGAATTTTAGAACCCGGGTGGACGAATCAACAGCGAGTGAGCGATATCTGAAAGATATCGGGCAGAGTGTTGACCACACGTGGCAGAAGAGAAAAGATGTGAATTAGATGAGCGGATATATAGATATGATACGAAAAAATACCAGGGTAATAAATAATATAGCATCAGTGGCGTCAGACGATCGGGGCCGGGGTCAACGGTGTGAGCGCTTGGGGCGCTGCAGCTCTGGTTCAGGTGGCGCGCGAGCGCAGTTTGCTGGCGCTCAGGCCGGTTCGCCGCGCGTATCGGCACGAGGAGCAATCCAGGCGTGCCGTGGGCGCTCGCGCATCGGAGGGCCCCCAAGGTGAGCAGGTACTTGGGAAGTGCGACCAGGAACGAACCAGAGCTGTACGGCAGGCGGACGGAAATACAAACTCTCGGACGACTTGCGGCGCGATCACAGCAACTACAATGGGCTTTACGTGCGTATCACATGGGACCGCGTCCTGCTTTCTTTTGTAGTCTCGGCGTCGCATGTGTTTTACCAAAATACTTGACGTGAATTAAATACAGATTCGCGCTGTTTGTACGCCGTATAGAGGGGCTCTGTTTGCTCAAGAATGTGTATTACAGTGGAGTACAAATAAGGTTTTAAATAAAAGAGATTGAGATAAATGTAATAACGGTTTAATAGACTTCGTCCTAATTCAAATACAATCTCGGTAAGCATGTACCGGAGACGTCTGTCATACTTTAACTGGTGGAATGTCGCCACATAAGGGCGGAATTCTTAGGTGTCTGCGAACATGTTGTGGGCAGTTTCCAATACGACCAGATGGCGGATTATTGGACAAGCGTTGACTTTCGAGCAGCGTTTGTGTGCGGTGGACATGCTCGTGATAGCAACCCTTCTGAGTATTGATGGCGGTTTCCATTGTCATAGACTCGACTGCGAAAGACACTCCGCAGGACGCGGAGAAGCTCCAGGGTATCACTTAGCATTAATCCCCACAAGAATCTTCTCAGAAAATATTTACCTCAGAGGATACCAGACCGAGCGCGGAAAAGACAGACCCTCTTTTCAACTTAAAAGGGTTCCTGCTCAAGATTACATGACGGGAAAACTGGGCGAAATGCGAGCTCTGGAGCCTTAAAACACAGCATGGAATAAAAATCCCGCAGAGGGGCGGGAAGGGTCGGTCGTTAAGATAGGTGTGAATACAGCACAAACCAACCAACCCTCTGCTACGGGGAGCCTAG